CATCCAAACCCAAAATCCCTCCATCCAAACCCAAAATCCCTTCATCCAAACCCAAAATTCTTCCATCCAAACCCAAAATCCCTCCATCCAAGCCCAAAATCCCTCCATCCAAACCCAAAATCCCTTCATCCAAACCCAAAATTCTTCCATCCAAACCCAAAATCCCTCCATCCAAACCCAAAATCCCTCCATCCAAACCCAAAATCCCTCCATCCAATCCCAAAATCCCTTCATCCAAACCCAAAATCCCTCCATCCAAACCAAATATCCCTCCATCCAAATCCAAAATCCCTTCATCCAAACCCAAAATCCCTCCATCCAAACCAAATATCCCTCCATCCAAATCCAAAATCCTTCCATCCAAACCCAAAATCCCTCCATCCAAACCCAATATCCCTTCATCCAAACCCAAAATTCTTCCATCCAAACCCAAAATCCCTCCATCCAAACCCAAAATCCCTCCATCCAAACCCAAAATCCCTTCATCCAAACCCAAAATCCCTTCATCCCCCACCAAAACATTTTCAACCTCCCACCACCACCTCCCCCATCCACCCCAAAACCCACCCCAAACCCTCCAGGCACGGGACCCACCTCGGAATTCCATGCTGGCAGCATCCTCCAGCAGCTCCTCCTTCATACTCGCCAAGGTCTCCACGATCATCTCCTTCATCTCCTCCTGCTTGCGGTTGGCGATGCCCATCAGCGACTCGTAGAGCTCGTTCTCCTTCCTGCGCGTGTACTCCAGCCGCTTGGGCGTGATCTGCAGGTCCCGCGCCATGTCGAACGCCTGGTTGATGAAGATGTTGAGGCAGCGCCCGTGAACCTCGCTCAGCCTCGTGGCCAACCCCACCAGGTGTTGCTGCAGCACCTGCCTGGCGAAGGCGCTCAGCAGCCGCAGCTTCTCCGGCTGCTCCGCCAGCACCGAGGAGCCGGGAGCGCCGCAGGAGCCGGAGGGGTGCAGGTATCCCAGATCCAGCAGCTGGCGGTGGAGCGGGGATTTCTCCTTGGTGGGTTTTTTGGGAGAGCTCGGCTCGCTGCCGGGCTCGGGGATTCGGAGGAAGAAGATGGGGAGGGAGAATTTTTCCTTGATTTCCAGAAGTTCTGCCCGGTCCGATGGGGACAGCTGGGGCTCGCCGATGGCGAAGGTGACAACGGGCAGCACCTGGTTGACAAACTCGGCCAGGGTGGCCTCAGCTGACTGGAAGCCACGGCATGGAGCCACCACGATGTCCACTTCCTGGGAAAAACAAAAAAAGGAGAAGTTTTGGAGAGGTTTTTCTGTGGGATTCATTCACACAGCAAAAAAACCCAGAATTCTTCAAAGCAAATCTGGAGTCTCACCTGCAAGGCTGATCTCAAACTCCAGATTCCTTATTTTGGACCAAATCCTTGGGGTTTTAGCCCAGATTAGGACAAGGCTGATCCCCTAACTCCAAATTCCTTATTTTGGACCAAATCCTTGGGGTTTTAGGACAAAACTTAGGAGAAGTGTCCCAGGAAAGAGCCAGATTGGGAATTTATTGATCAGGGCTGTAGAAAGCTCCCCACAGACCAGAGCAGGGACAAGTGGGGAATTGGGAATTCATTGATCAGGGCTGGAAATGTCACATCCCAACTTCCCTATGGACCAGGGCAGGGACAATTTGGGAATTTATTGATCAGGACTGTGGCAGTGCCACCCCAAGCTGCCCAGGGACCAGGGCAGGGACAATAAGAATTGGGAATTCATTGATCAGGGCTGGAAATGTCACATCCCAACTTCCCCAGGGACCAGGGCAGGGACAATTTGGGAATTGGGAATTTATTGATCAGGGCTATAGCACTGCCACCCCAAGCTGCCCAGGGACCACGGCAGGGACAATTTGGGAATTTATTGATCAGGGCAGGGCCAGTGGCAGTGCCACCCTCACCTTGAGCAGCGCGTGGGGCAGCACCACCTCCAGCTCTGCCACCCTCTGTGCAGGATCCTCGGCGTCGCCGGGCACCTGCAGGTCCTGCTCGGGGATGGTGTCCCAGTGCCCGCTGTGCCCCGCCAGCGCCTGCACCAGCTCGTACTGCCCGGGCAGCGCCAGGCTGAGCCGCGTCTGCGCCCCGTGCGTGAAGCGAACGCGGCGGCGCCGGCAGCGCTCCTCCGTGCCAGCCCCGGGGCTGGGCAGCAGCTCACGAGTGTCAGGGCTGGGCAGCAGTTCCTCAGTGTCAGGGCTGGGCAGCAGTTCCTCAGTGTCAGGGCTGGGCAGCAGTTCCTCAGTGTCAGGGCTGGGCAGCAGTTCCTCAGTGTCAGGGCTGGGCAGCAGCTCCTCCATGCCAACCCCAGGGGTGGGCAGCAGCCCCTCGGTGCCAGCCCCAGGGACAGGCAGCAGCTCCTCGGTGCCAGGGGTGGGCAGCAGTTCATCGGTGTCAGCCCCATGGACAGCCCCAGGGATGGGCAGCAGCTCCTCGGTGCCATGGACAGGCAGCAGCCCCTCTGTGTCAGGGGTGGGCAGCAGCTCCTCGGTGCCAGGGACAGGCAGCAGCTCCTCAGTGCCAGCCCCAGGGACAGGCAGCAGCCCCTCGGTGCCAGCCCCAGGGACGGGCAGCAGCTCCTGGCCCAGCAGCAGGTTCAGCAGGCGGCTCTTGGCACGGCAGCTCTGGCCCAGGATCAGCAGGCACGGCCGCCAGCTCACCGAGCGCTGCAGCTGCTCCTCCTCGTGCGGCGGGAACGAGACCGGGCCGTGGCCTGCAACGGGGACAGCGGTTAGGGCTTCATCCCTGAAGGGAAAAATTGGATATTGCAGCCCTACAAATGTCCCTCAGAGCCCAGAAATGTCCCTCAGAGCCCACAGGCTTCCCTCAGACCAAACAAACTTCCCTCAGAGCCCACAGATGCCCCTTACACTCCACAGATTTCCCTCAGAGCCCACAGACTTCCTTCAGAGCCCATAAATGTCCTTCAGAACTCATAAATGTCCCTCAGACCTCACAGACGTCCCTCAGACCCCACAGACGTCCCTCAGACCCCACAAATGTCCCTCAGACCCCACAAATGTCCCTCAGATGTCCCTCAGATGTCCCTCAGACCCCACAGACACCCCTCAGACCCCTCAGATGTCCCTCAGACCCCACAGATGTCACTTAGAGACCATAAATGTCCCTCAAACCCTAGAGATGTCCCTCAGACCCCACAGACACTCCTCAGACCCCTCAGATGTCCCTCAGACCCCACAGATGTCCCTCAGACCCCACAGATGTCCCTCAGATGTCCCTCAGACCCCACAGACACCCCTCAGACCCCTCAGATGTCCCTCAGACCCCTCAGATGTCACTTAGAGCCCATAAATGTCCCTCAAACCCTAGAGATGTCCCTCAGACCCCACAGACACTCCTCAGACCCCTCAGATGTCCCTCAGACCCCACAGATGTCCCTCAGATGTCCCTCAGACCCCACAGACACCCCTCAGACCCCACAGATGTCACTTAGAGCCCATAAATGTCCCTCAAACCCTAGAGATGTCCCTCAGACCCCACAGACTCCCCTCAAACCCCATAAATGTCCCTCAGACCCCTCAGATGTCCCTCAGATCCCACAGACTCCCCTCAGACCCCACAGATGTCCCTTAGAGCCCATAAATGTCCCTCAAACCCTAGAGATGTCCCTCAGACCCCACAGACGTCCCTCCCTTGCTGCTCCTGCAACAAACAAACACCTTCCCCGAGCTGGCACAGTTTGCCAGGGGTGGCTTTGGAGGGGAGAAAAGGGAATTACTCAATATCTGCTTCTCTTCCAGAGCTCGCTGTCATCACCCTCCTTACTCATCCTCCCTCTGCGGCATCACGGGTGAAGAATTCCATGGATGGAATTCAGTGGGATGGAACAACTCCCTGCCCTCACCTGGCTGCGCTAATTCAGGCTCAGGGCTGAGTTTAGCTCCTGTTTTGTTTGAAACAAGTCCTAAATCCAGCTTTGGAAAGATCTAAATTCAGTGTTACCCTCGTGGCGCAGCGGCAGAATGACTCTGACAGCCCCAAAATCACGGACACAAACAAATCCCTCATCTGCTGCGCTTCAGGAATACAAAAATTCCAGGGAACACGGCCCAGGAATGAAGTTAAATGGGAAATGGAGCAGCCAGCCCCTAAAAATGCCCAATTTGAGAGCTCCAAAGCACCAGGATTGCTCTGACACTGGAAGGAACAGCAGGAATTTCACAGGGAAGGTGCTGTTAAAATTCTTTTTTTCATGAGTCATGTTCTGGCAGCCGAAATTGTCGGGAAAACAAGATCCTCCCCTCCACCAGGATCCTCCTCACTCTCCAAACCCGATTAAAGAGATCCTACAGCACATCCTGCTCCTCACTCCGACAGCTTCATCACTCCAGTTTAATTAAAATCAGCCAAATTTGAAGCACTTGGCCTAGTCTTAGACTGGTTTAAAGCTTCTTTAAAGCCCTTGCCCAAGGTTTGACTTCCCCACAAATCCTCTGGCTGGAAATAAGATTTTGGAGGAGTTTTTCCACCCCAAAACTGAGGAAAAACTCTCTTTGTGGCTCAGCACTGAACCTCTGCCCCACAGAACCCCAATTCTGAGCCGCAAACCCCGAGTCTGGGAATGGTTTAAGGGAGGATTCTCTCCTTGGAATGTGATTTTTGGAATTGTTTTCCAAAACAGCCTTTCAAGAGCCACATCAAGTGACCAAAGAGCTGGAAGCTGACCAGGAGCTCACAAAAGATAAGGATCTGGAAAAATCCCACAAATGGCACATTTGAGCTATGGATGAAGGATGGCTTTGATCTGGGAACATTCCTTGGAGCTTCTCCTGGGATTCAGGCTCCAGAGCATGAAAAAAGCAATTCAGGGAGGGCTGCACAGGCAGAGCCTTTTCTCTGCTGAGGCTTCTGAAGGGAAAAGAGGCAGCAGAGCTTCCTCTCCTCGTTCCAGGCAGGAATTTTTGGATCCTTAAGTCCAGCAAAAATATCCCTGAAAAACTGCTGAGATATAACAGCTCAATGGGAATTATTTTTCAATGGGAAGGATTTTTTTTATACGGATGGAGAAGCAGAATCCTGGGATGGTTTGGGTTGGACCTTAAAGCTCATCCTGTTCCTCTGCCATTCAGGGACACCTTCACTATCCCAGGGTGTTCCAACCTGGCTTTGGACACTCCCAGGATTCCTTGGGAATTCCACCAGGGTGTCCCCACCCTCGCAGAGAGGAATTCCTCCTTATATCCCATCAAAACCTTCCCTTCTTCAATTCGAGGCCATTCCCTTTATCCATGTGAAAATTCCCTTTCCAGCCCTCTTGGAGCTCCTTTGGCTACTGGGAAACTGCCCCAAATTCCTCCCAAATCCATCTTTTCTCCGGGATTTGTGGTTAAAACACCTTTCCTTTCCCAAGGTCTTCCCAAATCCATCTTTTCTCTGGGATTTGTGGTTAAAACACCTTTCCCAAGGTCTTCCCAAATCCATCTTTTCTCCGGGATTTCTGGTTAAAACACCTTTCCCAAAATCCTTCCAAATCCATCATTTCTCCAGGATTTCTGGTTAAAACACCTTTCCTTTCCCAAGGTCTTCCCAAATCCATCATTTCTCCAGGACTTCTGGTTAAAACACCTCCCCCGTGATTCCACACCCCGTGACCAGCACGGACGCGGATCCAGGGTGGGAGGGACTCTACAAAAAGTGGGATCAGGAATTCCCAAAGGGACTCAGCGACATTCCCGTGCCCACAGGAGCAGTGCCAGGGATGGAGCCGGAGCTCCATCCCAAATCCATCCCGAATCCACCCTGAATCCATCCCGGATCCATCCTGGATCCATCCCATGTGAGGAACACTTCAGGCCGCGGGGGAGCCCCGGGGCGCGCGCATCCCATGAATTCCCCGGGATGAAAGGAAGCCTGTCCAGGGAACAAGGGCGGCTCTCACCAGGATTCCTCTCCAAATCCTCGGCGGAACAAGCTCAGCTGGGATTTATGGAATCTCTAAAGCTCCCAAGCATTGGCTCATCCCTTTTCCTACACTTTGATGGCCTCGCTCGTCGTTATCCCGTTTTCCAGGCTCTGTTTCTGAGGGTTTTCCAAGGACTCCGGCCATTCCCGAGCTGCTGGGTGTGCATTCCAGCAGGCTTTGACCGCCACAAGATTTAATCTCAACACATTTGTGTCAACTGAGGTGTCCAAAAGCTGCTTGGAGCAACCTGGAATGCGTGAAACTGGATGGGGTTTAAGGTCCTTTCCAACCCAAAGCAGCCTGGAATTCTGAATAAACCCACTTTTAGTTCCGTAACAGCACAGAGGTGTTGATTCCAAGAGAAAAAAAAAAAATTAATCCAAATTTCAGCTGCTCCAGGGTTAATTCCATGAGAAGAAAAAAAAAAATCCAATTAATTCTGATTTCAGCAGCTCCAAAGGCTGCAGAGCCAAATTCCATCCTCTGGAGCTCCTTGGGAAATCCTCCTTTCATCAGCCTGAGGAGTTATTCCACAAATTCCACCTCTCCACTGCTCTTAAATCCAAGTTTTTACCCCTGAAAGGAGCGCTGATCTTTAGGGGACAGACTTGAAGAGGATAAACCCCTCAATCAGCACAAAAACACCTCTAAGCCCTTTGGATAACTCCCTTAAAAAATCATTTATTGCAGGAAGCTGAGCCCCAGCACACACCATCAAGGGAAGCCCCAATTGCTGCCCAAAACTCTGGGGATTTTCCCAAAAATTCCTAAAATAAGGCAAAAGAAACCTCCAAAGCCTCAGGTTTTAATTGTCCCAATTATTACAGGCACAGCACAAAGAAAACAACCCCGAGGAGCAGCAAACAATTTGATTTTTCTTTTATATTTTTACCTATTTCATGCTGCAAGTCCCTAACTCAGGTTTTGTTTTTACAGCTTCCCAAGAACCCAAAAATGTCAGGATTGGAGGAAAACATTCCCAAAAGGCAATTCCTGGAACACCATCCCAGGATTCTATCTGTTCACCCAAAGAAATAATCCATAAATAATATAAATATAAATATAAATATAAATATAAATATAAATATAAATATAAATAATAATTGTGACTATGATGATGATAATAATAATAATAATAATAATAATAATAATAATAATATAAAATAAATAATCCTTCAGTAACTCCAGTGCATCTCAGTGATTTTTGGGGGGGATTTTTTTGGCTGGAATGAAATGATCCATAAATTCCCAGCCTGCCTGGGATGAGGAGAAGGGGCAAAAGCAAAACCTTCCCATTTCTTTGGCTTCCAGCACATCCATCCATGTTTCTTTTCCAGGTTTATTTTCCCATGGGAATTGTGTCCTGTCCACTCCTCTCCACATCCCAGTTCTCTCTGTGCTGCACAAAACTGACCCTGCACAAGTCCTTGGAGAAAATTCCTCTGGTTCCACCTGAAGGGCAGATCTGGGGGAAAAGTCAAGGAAAACTGTGCTGATGAAACTTCCTGACATCTAGAAACCTCCCCAGGGGAAAAAGGATGATTTCCACCTTCCTGCTTTGATCCCAGCCACGTCCAGCCTGGCTCTGGGGACTTCCAAAAATGGGGCAGCCACAAATTCTCTGGGAATTCCATCCCAGCCCCTCCCAGGGAAGGATTTATTCCCAATATCCCACCCAAACCAGCACAGGGAATCCTGGAATGGTTTGGGTTGGAAGGGATCATCCAATCCCATGGGTGTGGACACCTCTCACTATCCCAGGCTGCATTTTATCCTTTTTTCCATTTTATCCACTATCCAACCTGGCCTGGCACACTCCCAGGGATGGGGCAGCCACAGCTCCTCTGGGAATTCCATCCCAGCCTCACAGAGAAGGATTTATTCCCAAAATCCCGTCTATCCCTGCCCTCGGGCAGTGGGAAGCCATTCCCTGTGTGCTGGCACTCCATCCCTTGGAAATATTCCGTCTTTTCTCGTCAGCTCCTTCAGGTCATCCCAAATTCTTCTCTTCTCCAGGCAGAACAATCCCAAATTCCAAACATCACGGGCTCACCTGTCCTGGCTCTGCCCCTTCCCAAAATCCCATTCCCCACCCCGCCCGCTGAGAGGGGCAGCAACCACATCCCAAAATCCCGGTGTGCTCCCAAAAACCTTTCCACGGTACCACAAGGGGAGAATGAACCCCAAATCAGCCCAAAACCAATTTAATTTTTTTTAATACACAGACAGAAAAACCCAACGCTTCGAATGTGAAACCAGGACTTGGAGTGCAAGACAAGAACCCAGGACAAGAGATGACTCAGGAGCCATTTGGGGATGAATGAAGATCTTTAGGGACGTTTCACGTTTGTCAACAGCAGCAGATGCTCAGAGAGCCCCTGAGCGAAGCTGTTATTCCCAAGAACTCCGGGATAACCCGGGAATGCCATCCCCTCATCCCATCCTGTCCACTCCGTTCCGAATCCCCCTCCCTGTGGGGCTGGAGCCGCAGGTCAGGGAGAGGGGGAGAGGATCCCCATCAGCAAATCCCACAGGGATCATGGATCCAGCTGCTGACACCCCAACAATCCCACCCTGTGCTGCCCAAACACTCCCGCAGATCAGCGCTCAATTCCCCGGGGAGCCTGCTCAGCGCCCCAAAACCCCCTCGGAGAAGAATCTTTCCCTCACACGCATCCTAAATCCCCCCTAAATCACGCCCTGCCCTCCTCCCTTCACCCCACAAAGCCCCTCACACCCTCCAGGCACCCCCAGGCCTGGAACCCCCATTACAGCCCCCCCAAGTTGGACGCTTCACTCCTCACAGCAAGCCTCCCAAACCCCCCAGAGACCCCTCACCCACAAAGATTTCCCCTTTTACCCCCACAGACCCCTCACCCTCACACCTCCCGCCCCAGCGCGGCCTCCCCGGGCCCGCCCGCCCCGGCCTCTCTCACCGCCGTCCCCGGGACCCCCATCCCCGGCGGAGGGGGGGCCGTCACCGGCAGGCGCCGAGGCGAAGGGGTGTCCCTGGGAGAACTTGACATCGCGGAAGAACCTCTTGGTCTCTCGCAGGTTGTGCTGCAGCCGCGCCAGGTGCCGGTTGTAGTGGCAGAAAGAGCGGCAGAGCTCCCGCACGGCCCCGCCGGGACCCCGCCATGACGGGGCCCCCTCGGCCTCCATGTCCTCCGGGTCCGCCCCGCTATCCCCTCCCCACCGCGGGCCGCACTCGGGCCCTGCCAGGCTGCCGCCGCTCAGGGAGGAACCTCCCCGAGGATTTCCTCGCCTCCCGACCCCCCCACCCCCCGCCCCTCCCGCCTCCCCGACCCCCGCGGCCGCCGCCTTCTCCCGAGGGGAAGCGCCTCCACCAGCCGCGCTGAGTGTGCGCGGAACGTTTGTCGGCGCGCCGCAGGGCAAAGGGGGAGGAGGCCGGGCGCACCCCGCGCGCGAGGCGCGCTGGGAGGTGTAGTTTATTTACGTTTAACTGGAGTTCATTCTCCCGGCCCGCGGGGGGACGCCGGGAGTTGTAGTCTGTTGTGCCACAAAGCCTCATGGAAATTGTAGTCTCCCGAGGCGCGGCCGCCGACCTCTCTCCGAGGCCTCTGCGCACACCCGCGGGGGACGAGAAAAAACACTCCAAAAACAGAGAACGACCATAAAATGACGCATTTAAAAAGGGGAAGCAAAAGGGGAAGGTGAAATGTCGCCCGCTGCTCCCCCATCCCGCGCTGCGCGGAGCGGCTCGGCAGGAGGCGGCGCGCCCGTCTCCAGCTCCGCTCCGCCTCCGCGAATCACCAGCGGCGACCCCGCCCTCCGCGCGTCTCCATTGGTGAATTCCCCCCGCCAGCACCGCCCCCCGAGCACCCTTCCGCCAATCACCGCGCGCTTCCCCTCCTCTCTCGCGCCGCCATTGGCAGGCGGCTCTGTCCGTCAGGCTCGGCGGCGGCGGCGATGCCGGTGCCGGCGGCGGGCGCGGAGCCGCCGCGGCGCGGAGCCGCCGCCCGGCCCGGGCTCGGCGGGGCGGGCGGGCCGGGGCCGCGCAGCCCGCGGGCCCCGCAGCGGCCGCCGGGGCGCCGCCCGCCGCCGCCGCCGCGGCCGTAGGCGCCCCCCGCGAGCCGCGGGCACGGCGCTCCCGGGATGAAGCGGTGCCGCTCGGACGAGCTGCAGCAGCCCGAGGAGGATCCCGGCGCCGCGGGGGAGTCGCCCGGTCACGGCGTGATGGAGGGCAAGGCCGGCGAAGCGGCGGCGGCCCCCGAGGCGGGCGCTGTCCCGGCGCCGCCGCGCTCCAAGCCCCCCGACCTGAAGGTGAGCGGCGGGAGCGTCCCGGTGGGAGACGGGAAAATCCCATGGGATCGTCCCAGGGTTCCCGGTGGTGGTGACCGGTGTGGGGAGATCCCGGTGGGGTCACCGGAGCGATGGAGCTCGGGGGGTGCCACCATCCCCACCTCCCCCCCCCCGGTCCTACAGGTGTGACCTTGGAGAATGCGGGATGGCTCCTGGATAAGGGCGCTCCGGGATTGGGATAATCCTGGGAATGGCGTGCTCCTGGATGGGGGTAGCGCTGGGAATAGCGTGCTCCTGGATTGGGATGCTCCTGGGATGGGGGTGGTCCTGTTGCGGGGATCCTACTGGATGAGGATGCTCCTGGGATGGAGACGCTCCAGGGATGAGGATGCTCCAGGGATGAGGATGCTCCTGGGATGAGGATGCTCCTGGGATGAGGATGTTCCTGGGATGGAGACGCTCCTGGGATGGAGACGCTCCTGGGATGAGGATGCTCCTGGGATGAGGATGCTCCTGGGATGAGGATGTTCCTGGGATGAGGATGCTCCTGGGGTCGGGATGGGG